CTCTCTCTCTCTCTCTCTCTCTCTCTCTCTCTCTCTCTCTCTCTCTCTCTTTCTCTCAAGCATGGGCTACCATAAACTTTTTCTCTCCACTTGATCTGACAGAACGTCAGTCGAATGGACAGTAGCCGCGCTTGGAAACGTGCCAGACGCACCTTCGTGTTTTAACCGAGCGATTCTCTCCCGCGAACCAATAGCACGACGCACGAACCGATCTCGTTCGCAAATAAGGACTGACTCTAACCAACGCGTCGGTCAACGCTCATCCTAGTTAACGGAATTGTCTATCACCGTCTGCACACGTCTGCACACGTCTGCACCGCGTCCAGCCCCTGAACTACGATTCAGGAAAAAGAAACGAGCGAAGAACCGATCGGGAATCTCCGGCGAGGTTAACAGGCGTCGGTGGTATCGACGAGTAAGTAGCACACCGAAGTATCGCAGTGTCAGAGGCGTGAACCTGAAGACGCGCGAAAACATTTGACACCGTGTTCGCGTCGCGCCGAGAGAGGCTAAATGCGATTCGTCCGTCTACCTGGAGCGTGAGCCGGTTGAAAGGCGTGGGTGCGTGGGAATGAGCACGCGTGTTTGCACGAGCCTGCCGAGCGCTCAACCTCCTTCTTCTCCTCCTCCTCCTCGGTTCGTGGCGGTCGAGGCGACGGTTCAGACCTCGCTCACCCGATAAGGCGAAAGATTGTGTGAGCGAAAAAATTCGTAAGCGAATCATTCGTAATAAGAACTTTATTTTCGAGTGAGTGCTATAAAATTGCGCATCGAAATGTTCCTTCGTTCCGGAGACGATATGCGAAAAGGAAGATGGAGGGAGGTAGACGACGAGGTATCTTCGGGTTCTTGACCGAAAGAAATTACTTAGAAGCCCTGACGCCGGTAAACGCGATAGAGGAGGCGAAAGAGAAGGAAAAATAAGAAGAATCTCCGCGCAGGAAGGAAAGGAGGACTTTGGCGAAGCCGGCGGCGCATACCAGCCGCGCGACAGCGGCCTAATACAAAGCGGTACCGAGATAAAAGAGCGTAGGTAGTTTCTCTTCTACCTGTCGACTTCATCTTTTCCCCTACGTATGTTCCTTCCCTGCCGCTCACTTCTCTCACGGCATCCACCGGCAGCTCATTGTAGTCGCGAGAGAAGTAGAAGGCAAAGGCGAAGGAGGAGGTGGAAGAGGAGACGAAGGAGGAGGAAGAGGAGGAGGAAGAAGAAGAAGAAGCAATGCAAGAGTCGCGACACCTAAACTCGCGCTCGCTCGTTAACGACGTCCGTTTCATGCTAGCCGCGCAGTAAATTACATCCCGGCCGATCGTAATGAATCTCGCGCCAATGGATAAGTCCGCCGGGATATTTCCGCGCGGCGAGACGCGCAAACGCCGGGGCCGCAATGCCGGGGCCTTCTCGCGAAGTAACCAGCCTACCTTACGTCATTGCGTATTCACGGTACGGCTCATTGAACGGGGGAATTCGGTGAATGGGTATGAGCGCATACCTCCGATGCGCGAGCGCGCCTCCACCTCACGTTCGAGTCCGAGCGGTTATTCGCGTCAAATATCGCGGAAAACGTTCCGGAGTCACTCGCGCGCGCGAATTCCTTCCGCAAATTTTCCAAACAAACCTTCGGCAGAGCCTTCAACGATTATATTCCCGACGAATCGCCCAGTTTATTCAGCCCACCCATAACCTCAGGCCGATTCTTTCGAGAACACCCTGGTATCGTCCTGGTATCACATTCTACGCGTGTATGTGACACGCGCTCCGCGTTCGCAACCCAGAAACGACGACACACCCGTGCGGAGTGACGCGTTGTGAATGGGAATATCCATGCGGCTGTATCGGCCGTCTCACTGAGGCACTCTGTCCCTTCCCCGGAGCGATCGGCATTCTCGTCGATTCACCCTGATTCGTCGCATTACTTTCCATCCTGGACCGAGTAGTAGGCGCGTCCGTCGAACCGAGACTAATTCCACTTGCGCTCTCGGTACGGCCGCGCCGCGACGGAAGGCACCGTGTCTTCGGTGCGCGCGTTTACAAAGCGCGACGTGCACCCGAGTGCATCGTTGCAGGCGGCTGCAACGGCGCTGGCGGTGGCGGCAACGGCGGCTCCGCGTCCGGCCGGCACGTTTGTCGCAGATAATTTGCGTTCGATCCGGCCGCGTAATTGCCGGCGATGACATCTTCCGGTTACAGCACGCGCGCGACCATCGATCGTACCGTGTGTACACATGCGCCACGTACGCGATGAAAAGCACCGAGCTCCCCGAATCCTCTTGACTTACGCGGCTCGAACGCCCGCTCGTAACGGGACCTCCGCTTCTCTCCGAGAGAGAGAGAGAGAGAGAGAGAGAGAGAGAGAGAGAGGGGCAGAGAGAGCCGCCAATTATAATTTACGACGGTTACATACGAGACCAAAGCTACTTTTTGTCTCGAAAACCGGTCCCGTGGAGTGTATGAAGTTGGCACCCCACTTTTTGAAATTTATAATTTTGAAAGTTGTTCTTTCCAGATTGTTCTGACTTTGTACCACATTGTTCCAAAGTGATATTGCTTCATTCGAAACGGTTTTCGAATGAAACAAAAAAAATGATTTTTTAAGCTGGCATCCCACTTTTCGAAAATCGAACATTCTGATACCGCAATAGATTGTTCTAGTTGTTCCAAACATTGTTCCAAAAGGACAAATCCGTAAGTTGAATTATAAGTCCAAAAAATGAAAAAAATGTTTTTGACCTGGCACTCCATTTTTTGAAAATAAAGCATTCCGATACCGATATAGATTGTTCTAGTTGTTCCAAACATTGTTCCAAAAGCACAAATCAATAAGTTTATTAACCGTTATCAATAAAGTTATTAACCGATCTCGGTTGGTACAAGAAAGATAGTATAAGTTTACTCTTGGTCCGATAGACTGTTTGTCAAAAAACTTTTTTTTAATTTTTCGGGCTTATAATTAAACTTATTGATTTGTGCTTTTGGAACAATGTTTGGAACAACTAGAACAATCTATTGCGGTATCAGAATGTTCGATTTTCGAAAAGTGGGGTGCCAGCTCAAAAAATCATTTTTTTTGTTTTATTCGAAAACCGTTTCGAATGAAGCAATATTACTTTGGAACAATGTGGTACAAAGAACAATCTGGAACAACTTTCAAAATTATAAATTTCAAAAAGTGGGGTGCCAACTTCATACACTCGGCCCCGTGGCGGTCCTGCCGCCTAAACACGCGATCGCTCTTTTCGTAACGATCTTTGTGTGCACGCTAAACTCGGAAATAACAGCGTCTTTTTCACTCTCTTCAATTTTTCCCAAACGCAACATCGCACTCTACGCGTTTATGGATCGATTTTACCTACGGCGTGCCAATCTCCGGTGTGCCGGTCTATGGCGATCGTCTATTGCAAATGATATAACTTCTATGAAGTTCAAGCTTCGAGGGTTACGTAATAGTATTTCGAAGAACATGTAATTTATGGCCAGCGTGCCTTTTGACTCTTTGAAATGAGTCTCGCGAGCGGTGCCGCAGCTGCGAGGTGATTTGCGTTCAATCCGCTCGTAATGGTCACCGACTTCTTCCGGTTTGTAGCGCGTGCAAATCGGCGAAGACGGCTTACGAGAGAGGTAAGTCGAAAAACGGCAACGCGAACGAACGAGGAACGTGCTCTCGGCGCGACTCGACACACCGGCGATTTTACTTTCGTGCTCGCTATAAATTACAAGGACAGGACTTGAAGAAGCGGCAAGCGAATGAATTCAGCCCGGGGCAACGGCGCGAGACGTACACACCTCCGCTCTAATTAATCCACTAATTGACGGGCGTCATGAGATTATCCGGCGAGTGATCAACGGATTAGAAGCGGAGGAATTGTTGTGCTTCCTCCGACGTTGTTTACCGGCGCCGAGG